TGTTTCAGGCAATTTGGGGATAAGGTTATCGGGAGACGTGGTCGGTCGGGAGATTGCCACTGGACCACAACCTAGTGGATCATTTCATGATACCATAGTAGAATTAAAAAAAAATTTTAAATCATTATAAATTAGCAAATATATCTTTTAAATAAAAAATTGTAATTAAAGTTTGATTAGTTAGATGGAAAAAAGAAAAAAAAGAACGAAATTTTAAATCATTATAAATTAGCAAATATATCTTTTAAATAAAAAATTGTAATTAAAGTTTGATTAGTTAGATGGAAAAAAAAAAAAAGAACGAAAGAGAAGAGTGCATGCAAGGCTAAAATTGAATTTAATAAAGGGTAGTAAAAAATGGTATGCTGAATTTAATTAATAATGGGAGAAAAAACCTAAAGTAAATATACCAAATAAAAAAAGTATTGACACGCAGTAATAAAAGAGCATATAAAAGAAGGTTTGTAAAAGCGACATATGGCATATTTATTTTGAATGATTTTTGCTTTAATATATATATGTTTATATCTAATAATAAATTATGTAATGAGAAAAATAAAGAGAGTTTTGATTATTATTTTAAATTTTATAGTAATTTATTTAATTAATATTAATTGATACAAATTTAAAATTTTAACTATTACATTATAAAAGGGTATTATAGACATTATAAAAAATTTTGATATACTTATAATATATTTTATTAAAATATTTTTATTTATATAAAATTTAAAATTAAATTTTTATTAAATAATAAAAAAATTTGATAAACATACCATAGTAGAATTTAAAAAAATTAAAATCATTATAAATTAGTAAATATATCTTTTACATAAAAAACTGTAATTGAAGTTTGATTAGTTAGATGGGAAAAAAAAAAGAACGAAAAAGAAGAGTGCATGCAAGGCTAAAATTGAATTTAATGAAGGATGGTAAAAAATAGTAGGCTGAATTTAATGAATAATGAGATAATAAAATTAAAGTAAAACGATAAATTTATCAAATAAAGAAAGTATTTAATTAATATATATAGATGTTTTTGTAATACCCCAAAATTTTCAAAAACATTAAAGTTGAGTGTCACGCCCCAAAACCCAAATTTGAGGTGCGACAGACGCTATACACTCGTGAGACGAGTCCCACAAGTGCACAAGGCTCAAAACTTATCCAATTCACAATCTGATACCATTAAAATCTAAAGATCAAATCTTAAAATCTGCTTTGATATCATAAAATCTCCAAATACACTCTGGTTTACAAGATCATGATTTATTTCTAAACTCTATATCAATCTCGAAATGGCTAGCCTTCTAACCCGTCACTTCCCGTGGTTTCCCCGTCCTTGGTTTCACTTCCTGAAATGGTGAACAAAGAAAACTATGAGATAAACTCAGTAAGTAAAATATGGAGTGCCCTTACTTAAACTTATAGCATGCCAACATGTGCAATTACGAAAAACGGATACAGTAGGGGAACGAAATAGACGTCTCCTCTATAGGTCACGACCAGTGTTATAAACCTCCCACTAGCAGGCTACAGTATTTGTTGGTGTATAATCCCCCACTAGCAGGGTTGAACGAACCGGTTCTATCAATAACATGTCGACATGTGCTAGCGTTTAACCCCCACTAGCAGGATCATCAATAACATAACCACATCGGAGACAAAACAAGCAGAAGTTAACAGAAAAATCATAATTCACCAATCACTTTCAAATCATCAGGACAATCAATTAAATCTCAAGTAGGCATGCTCACTTTAATGAAAAGCATAAAACATTTCACTTCAAATCAGTCATACTTACTTTTACATAAAACGGGTTTAACCCCGCCACCACTTCAAAAACAAATCAAAACATGCTTTTAAAAACTGTATGGGCATTACTATAAATTTACTTACCTCAAATCGCATAAAACCGAAGACTCAATCTCAGTGCTAAACTGACAGAACGATTAGGAACCTAATCAAAATATCCAAAATTAATACCGCACTACCATAAATTCAAACTGAAATCATCATGACTAATCTCTAATCACGATGCTATTTCTATCGATCTCCACATTACCAGACATCTCCAAATTTATTCTTATATCACAAACTAATCATTTAAATCCCCATTAATGGTTGACCCTCGGTGTGTGAACAGTAATCTGTTAACAGTGCCATGAACAGTAACTACGATGTGAACAGTAACTCCAACTTCCAAAATTGGCAAAACCATAGCCTATTCTCACGGGATTTTTCTCCAAAAATCACAGCAACTAATCAAGCTAATTTCTCTACCTAAACCAAGCTTAAAACATAACTTAATGCTGCCAAAATTCATCCCCAATTTCAACAAAAATTCCCGAACAGTACAAGGGCAAATCAAAGGCAGAAAATTCAAGATTCAAGGCAGCAAATTAACGGACATATTCGGGGTTGGAGGGCTGTCACATACCGGAGTTTAACAAGCAAAATCGGAGTTGCAGTTGGGGAAGAGGCCGGCGGGATCTGCAGGGGCAATTCACGAGCTACCCAAAAATTGAAGGAAATAAGAGCAATTAACGTAAACCCAAGGCAATTCAAAGCTAGAGAAGGGAGATTCATGGCTATTTCTTACCCAAAATCAGAGAAATTCGCCCCCACAAAGCAAGAGCAGCCGGCAGTGAGGAGCAGAGCAAGGCAGATCCGGAAGCTTCCTGTAGGGGGGAAGATTTTCTGGGTTCAATTTGTGTTCTAGAGCAAGAAAAGAAGGCCAAAACCAAGCTTATCTCACCGGTTTCTCAAAGGCATGGCTGGGTTCCCTTTTTTTTTTTCTTTCGGGTGGCTGCAGCGGGAAGAAAGAAGAGCAGAACGCGAAATGGCTGGGGAAGAAGGAAGAAAGAAAGAAAAAAAGGACAAAGAAAAGAAGCTATCCTTATCCAAAATCTTTTCCCTTTTTAAGTCCCTCAACTTAGCAAATCTTGGTTATCAAGTCCCAAAACCATATTTCCTCTCACAAAGGTCCTCACTTAATGCTAAAATATCACAAAATTTTGGGGTATTACATTGAGTTAGAGACTTAATGGTGAGGAAATGTTATTAATGAACCTAATAGCCAAACTTTCAAGTTTCAGGGGGTTAAAAAGATTTTGGATAAGGCCGGCTGACTTTTTCTTTCTTTCTTTTTTTTCTTTCTCTCTTTCTTCCGCAGCCATTTTCGTGTGTCTGCTCTTCCTTCTCCCCTGCACCGAACAAGCACCCAGCCAAGCCCAACAACACCCCACTTGGAAAACCGGTGAGGAAGCTGATTTTTGCCTTTCTTTTCTTATTCAAGAACCATATTTAAAGCTTGGAAATCTTTCCCCTCTGCAGAATTTTGGGATCTGCTCTGCTCTGTGTCCTCCGTCCATTGCTCTTGCCGGTTGTGGGTGTGAAATTTTCCAAATTTTTGGTAAGAAACAGCCACCAATTCCTTTGTTCTTCCTTGAACTGGCTTGGGTTTACCTTAATTTCTCTTGGTCCTTCAATTTCCGGTAGATCCCCTTGAATTTTCTGCATTTCCCGCCAGCTCTTCCCCATACCCGCCAACTCCAGCCTTGCTTGTTGAGAATTTCTGGTAGGTTGGCTTTTCTAATTTCTGAAAACTGGTTGATTAATTGCTGCCTTGTTGAGTTTAATTGGCTGTATGGGTGCCCTGTGTTGTCCGAAAATTTGCTGGAAGTAGGGGATGAATTCCGGCAGCCTTGAAGTGAGTTTTAAGTTGGCTGTTGTGATGTTGTATGAAAGAAAAAAATAAATATTTCCGTGACTTAGCCATTTTTGTCAAAGCCAGTTATCCCATTTCCTGTCCATGAATTTGGAAAAATTGTATATGTGTAATTATGTATATATATATAATTGCACAATCTCAGGTTGTGTGCTCAAATTTCGGATAGGAAAAAAAAATAATAAATAAAGAAATAAAATTTCTTTTTTATAGGTATTAATTCTGAAATATTGTGATTAAGTTCTTGATCGTTACTGTCACGCCCCAGACCCCAAATCCGAGGACATGGCAAACGCCGTGCACTCGTGAGAGAGTCCCACAAATGCACAAGGCTCGAAACTTATCCAATTCACATCTGACAATCCAATAACTTAAATAATATATTTCAAATTAATTCTATATTCAACACTTAAGCTCAAAATCTCAAGGTAAAATTTATCTTACAAAAGCATGATTTATTTCTAAAATCTATATCAATCTCGAAATGGCTAGCCTTCTAACTCGTCACTCCCCGTGGTTTCCCCGTCCTCGGTTTCGCTTCCTGAAATGATGGACAAGGAAAACTATGAGATAAACTCAAGAAGTAAATATGGATAGCACTTAATTAAACTTATAATATGCTAACAAGTATAATTACGAAAAACAAATACGGGTACGGAAACGAAATAGACGTCTCCTCCATAGGTCATGGCCAGTGTTATAAACCTCCCACTGATAGGCACACGATTTACTAGTGAATAATCCCACTAGCAGGATAACAGAAACGAATCGGTTCTATCAGTAACATGTCGACATGTGCTAACATTTATAAACCTCCCACTAGCGAGCACACGAATAACATGCCCATATCGAAGACAAAATCAGGCAAGATTTACAGAAAAATCCATGATTCACAATCACTCTCAATTTCAAGAATTAACTGGAAATTTTCCATGTGGGCATGGATTTAGCAGAAAAATCAGAGTTTACAAAATTCTCAGTTCATCAAGGCAGTTAAGCAAATTCCAAGTAAGCATGTTAGTTCAATAAAAAGAATATAATTTCATTTCAAATCGATCATACTTATGTAAAACGAGTTTAGTCTTGCCACCACTTCAAAAACAAAAACAAGTTAAAATGTGCTTTAAAATTAGAGGGCGTTACCATAATTTACTTACCTCACTCGCATAAAACTGAAGACTCGATCCCAGTGCTAAACTAGCAGAACGATCAGGAACCTAATCAAAATATCCAAGAATTAATTCCGCACTATCACAAATTCAAAATGAAAACTTTATTAGAATCACCCCTAATCACAATGCTATTCCTATCAATCTCCACATGACCAAATATCTCCAAATTTGTTCTTATATTACAAACTAAACATTTAAAACCCTATTAATTGTTGGCCATTACCCATGAACAGTGCTCACGCCGTGAACAGTACTGCAACTTCCAAAAATTGGCCAAAACACTAGTTAATTCATGGGATTTTTCTCCAAATTCTCACAGCAATCAATTAACTAATTTTCTACATGAATTAAGCTAAATCATGGTCTAATTACTGTCAAAGTTCATCCCCATTTTCCAACAGAATTTCGGACATCACAGGGGCAGCCACTACATGGATAATTCAACAAATAATGGATGATTTTAGGCTCAAAGGGGGCTGTCACATACCATAAATCCAACAAGCAAGGCCAGAGCTGCAATTTGGGGAAGAGCCGGCGGCAATTTCTGCAGGGGACTCTCACGGCTACCAAAATTGGAAGGAAATAAAAGCAATTAAAGTAAACCCAGCCTAAATCAAGGTTAAAGGGATGATTTCTTGGCTGAATCTTACCAGAAAAATGCCCAGAAATTCGAGCCTAGCAGCACCAGCGGATGGACAAAGCAGAGCAGATCTGGAATTCTGCAGAGGGGGGGAAATTTCTGGGTTCTATATGTGTTCTAGAACAAGAAAAGAAGGAGAAATTTCAAGCTTCCTACCGGTTTCTCAAAGGCTGGTGCCGGCGGCTTGGAGGGGCTTTCGGGAGCTACAGGGGACGGGAAAGAAGAAGAGCAGAAACGCGCAAGGCTGAAGAAAGAAAGAAGAAAAAATACCCTGTCCTTATCCAAATTTCTACTCTTTTAAGTCCCTCAAGTTTGGAAATTTTGGCTATTAAGTCCAAAACAATATTTTTCCACAATTTAATCCTTAACTTAATACTAAAATATCACAAAATTTTGGGGTATTACAGTTACCCTAGCACTTGGGTTAAGCCTTCTATTATATGCGATTAAGGTAAGTAAATTATGGTAATGCCCTTAAATTTTAGAGCATATTTTAACTTGTTTTTTTAGATGATAGCAAGGTTTAAATGGATTTATTTGCATCTGACCATGATTATAATGAAAATTGAACTTTTATTATTTTCCTTATTTTCTAGAATTGAGCATGCCCACATGAAATTCTTTCGGTTTATTCTTGAAATTGAGAGCGATGGTGAATCATGGATTTTTCTATAAATCTTGCTTGGTTTTGTCTCCAATATGGTCATGTTATTCGTGTGCCCGCTAGTTGGAGGTTTATAAACGCTAGCACATGTCGACATGTTACTGATAGAACCGATTCGTTTCTGTTATCCTGCTAGTGGGACTATACACTAGTAAATCGTGTGCCTGCAAGTGGGAGGTTTATAACACTGATCATGACTAATAGAGGAGACCACTACTTAATTTATTCTGCATTAATGGTTTGTTATTGAGATGCTCTGTTTATGTTTAAACTGTTTATTTGACATGCTTTAAATTTTGATCCCAGGCATCCATATTTACTTACTGAGATATTTTATCTCATAGTTTTCGTTGTCCACCATTTCAGGTAGTGAGACCTGACGCATGGGGAGCCTAGGGGAGTGACGAGCTAGACAGCTAGGCATTATTTGGACTTAGGTTTTTGTAACTAGGCCGCTAGTCACCCATACTTGACTTAAAAATTTTTGTGTAAAGAACTCCATTAGTTATAGTCAAGACTGTATAGATAAAGTTATAAATCTTTGTACATTTTGACTAGTAATTATTTAGAAAAAAAAAAAACTAGATATTACTTGAGTTTTAAAATTTTCTGAATTAGGAATTATGAATTCAGTAAGTTTCGAGTCTTGTGCATTTGTGGGACCCTTTCATAAGTGTACGACGTCTGCCACATCCCCGGATTTGGGTTCTGGGGTGTGACATGTTTATATCTAATAATAAATTATATAGTGAGAAAAAGAAAGAGAGTTTTGATTATCATTTTAAATTTTATAGTACTTTATTTAATTAATATTAATTGATAAAAATTTAACATTTTAACTATTACATTATAAAAGGGTATTATAGACATTATAAAAAATTTTGATATACTTATCATGTATTTTATTAAAGTATTTTTATTTATATA